TTGTATAGTACTATTCATTTTGTCTGTGTTGATGAGAAATATTCCAAGAAGCCAACAGCAGTCACTGAATCCTTGTTTTACAAAACCCTGTTTCTTTCCTCTGCACAAGCTATAAACCTACATGACAAAAACCAATCTGAATAAGTCAAAGACCCCCAACTCAATTAAATTAAATAGTACTGCACCCTTTTTATAGCCTCCATTACTACAGCATATAAAATTTATTATGCATGTCTAGGTCTAGCTGTGATACTGTTTATATGTTATGAACAAATTCTATAATTGTGCTTTTACCTTATACAGTTATGTCTCTCAGAGACCCTTTGTGGTTTAAGAAAGACCTCAATGCAGGGAGGGGGCTGTGGGAGAGAAGAAGGTAGAGAGAGAGAGAGAGAGAACTAGACAATGGAGAAAAAGTCTTTTGACCATATTGTCTAGCAGAGCAAGAGAACATGAGAAAATCTGTGCCCCACAAGTGTTCATAAACTGTTATCTTCCCTTGGGAGAAGCCAGAAGGGCCATTCCACTGTGATATAATTCTGGGTGTTCATTAAACATTCATCCAAGGCTAAATCATATCAGTGAACAATGAGCATGAAGGCCCGGATCTGTGTGTCAAAGACAGGAGGCCATATCAGGGCCCAGTTGCTTTATTTAGTGAGGTCTGTGTCAAGCAGACAGGGGGAATGGGAGGTTTCCTTGGAGGCTTTTGTGAAGCCTTTGCTTCTTCTGGGGGCTCGATTAGAATAATCAGAGGCCTTGGGAAATTCACACGGTTTTGGTGGTGCTGTGATCCATCATCATCCATCATACTTGTGCTCTGGGTGACTGGGGAGCCAAATACCGGGCTGGCGGGGTGGCCAGAGCCCTTCTCTGCATGGAGCTCTCTGGTCTGCAGGGCAGGGCTCCAGGAAGCCTGGCAGCGAGAGGGGTAGAGGAGGCTGCAGGGGAACTAACCCATGGATCAGCCTGAATTGGGGGACTTCCCCTTCTAGCAGTCCCCATAGGCAACAGTCTAGGAACAAAATCTAACTGTACTGTACTTTGAAAGGTGTTTTTGGATGGCTTGCTTTAGATTTTCTCAGCTTAATTTGTGTTTTGCTGGGTTTGTCTGTAGTTATTTCTTATTTATTTTGAACTTTATTTTGTTTGTTGGCCTGCCTTAATAATTTTTTAAATAGATTTTGCAAGTTGTTTCCTCTTTGGTCTTCCTTCTGGGTGCATAGTGAAAATGCATAGTTGTAAGATATGTGTGTATCTCTCTTGTATATGTGTTTTGCATGGAGGCAAAGAGTAAAGTCCTCATTATATATTCCTTATATCATGAGCAACATTTTTTTTCCAAAATCTTTTTTTTTGACCAAGGAAGAAATGTAATTTTTTTAAAAAAATGTTTCAGGATTCCTGGATTAAGAGAACATGATATAGTTCTAAAGAAAAATACTTATAGCAGAACGACTTCAGGGCCAATCTGCCAGAGCCCTGTGTAAGACTGGACTGTTCAAAAATGACTGATTTGGTTTCTTGGTTCCCAGGCAAAGAAATTTGGCAGCCAGATATGTAAATTCTTACCCATCTTCCTTTTTGTTTTTTCCTCTGGAAACAAGGGAGAGTCAAATTTAAGTGCATGTACACATTATAACAAACTTGTAAATCCAAATTTTATGACACCTATCAGCTAAGAAAATGTACTTAAAATTTGCTTTTCTGTGTTTCAGAGGGTTGATAGAATTGCTAGATTTCAAAAACTACAATAAAAAGAGCCTTCTATTTAATCTGTGTTTTAATCACTCCAGCTTATGTAAATTAATATAGAGAACTTGCTATCTTGTTTATTTTATTGTTTTATTTTATTTTATTTTATTTTATTTACTTTTATGGCTATCAAATGGTAAACACATGCCTGTCCTAAAAGGGATTTATGTCATTCTCTTTTGGATGGTGCAAACAAGTCCATAAAATAAATAAGTGTCTTGTAGTTCATTCTTTCTATTTCTTAAAATGAAAATCCAAAACATAATGCCTAGAACTGTATTGAAATTTGAAAGGATTTTCTTTGTGTATATGAGAAAATATGACTCATGAAGAAAGAGAAGCTAGAGGAATATATGTATGGATTTGGTTGTGATATTGTATTGGTATCTGTTACAACCATTGCAATAAGATTCCTGTGACGATGGACCTCAATTAAAATAATCAGAAATAATGATTAGCAACAATAAATTAAACCAAATTTCCACCCTCTTTCTGTTTTCATTTTCCTCTTTTTTCATATACATATGTGTATACATGTGTGTATGTATGTATGTATGTATCTATGTGTACACCTCTGCATATACACACACACGTACATACAGAATAATATATGTATATACACACACATACATACACATACGTAAGTAAATAATCCCAAACAGATCAATATGGGGAAGGAATCACATGGGCTGAGAGAGGGGTGGTCTGAAGAGCCGTCCTCAGGTACTCTGGGGATTTGGAGTTCTAGTAGGAGAATGAGCAGGGAGGGGCACTCTATGGAGAATGGTGATTTTGCAAGATTCTTGCATATTCACTTACGAGTGTTTTAAATGATATTAACAAATTATTTTTAAAGTCATCATATTCTGCCCCCCTCCCCTGCCAAAAGTTGGAACAAAGTTACGTATCAGTTGAATTTTGCTTAATAAATTCCTATGAAAACAATTGAGATGAGGAATGGTTTTGTAGCCTTTCCCTAAAAATCTCAACTCAGGCAGCATCCAGCAAGGTAGAGGATGTGTTCCTGGTGAGCACTTTGTGCAGGCAAGTGCCTGAGCTGAGATTGCCAAGCTGCCTCAGCCAGCGGGAAGTGTAGGAACACAAGGGTGATCGGCACTGGAAAGCATGGGGACTAATATGAAAGAATTAGGCTTGTTAAGGAATTGACGTTCCTTAAGAGCACACCAGACTAACTGAAGGTATCCTCCAATGCCTTACCTGGTGTCTTTTCCATATGAACATGCAAGAAGAATAGTTTTTCCTCCTGTCCCCAGTCTGATCTTTCAATCTTTTTTTTTTTTAAAGAGAGAGAGAGAGAGAGAGAGAGAGAGAGAGAGAGAGTGTTTTGATATTTATTTTTTAGTTTTCGGTGGACACAACATCTTTGTTTGTATATAGTGCTGAGGATCTAACCCGGGCCGCACGCATGCCAGGCAAGAGCGCTACCGCTTGAGCCACATCCCCAGCCCCTGATCTTTCAATCTTTATGGATTCTCCAAGCAAGGGGAAGCCCATTGGTTCCGCAGCTCCATCGTTCCCTACATACCCAGAATTATATCGTGGTCCCCCGATTTCCCAGAACTCCTATGTTATATTCAGTTTCTAACCTTTCTTCCATATGTAACCTAGTCCCCTTCTGTGCTCTGATCCCTTGGATTGTCCACTTTTACTCATCACTGATAAACCAATTCATGAGATAGCATATTGGTTCACTGCAGTTTCTATGATCCTCTCCCAACTCTCTCACCAGATTCTCTCAATTTTACTTCCTAAATTTCTCTGTCTTCTTCATCCTCCACTTTCACTGCCATTTTTTTTTCAGTTTTCATAATCTTTCCCGTGCACTAATGAAATAGCCATTGACTGGTCCATCTGCACTCTGTGTCATCCTTCTTAAATTGTTCTTGAATCAGTGATTACACTAAAACACAATTCTGTTCCTGCCATTCTCCTCTCTAAGTCTCTTCTGTGGCACCATATTCTTAATAGGAGAAAGTTCAAACTCCAGGGTGGAGTAGAAGCTTGCTCCATATGCCTCTTTCTCTGCATCTTTATCTACTGTCATCCTCCCTGCTGATCATCAGTACTAAGAAATTCTTAGTCTTGTGCATATGCTAAGCTATTCCATATTTTGGTATCTCTAAGTATATCCTTTCTTCTACTTGGCATGTTCTTCCTTCCCCATCTTTCCTCCAGGAAACTCCTTTGAAATCATTTTTGTTCTTCAACATATTCTACCCTTCTTAGGTGTCACTACCTCTGGGCAACTTCCCTAAACTTTCTCACTCTCAGATGAATTCCTCTGTTCTCTACACCCTGTACAGAGTTGTTGATTGTAGGCACTGTATTCCATTTGTACATCTTTGTTCTCTTCAAGAATTTTGCTCTTTGAGGCTAGGAGTGGCGTCAATCACTTTTGCTCTAGAGTGAATGCTATGTAACCCATGGTAGATTTTTAATGCCTATTGAAAGGAATAAATGATTCACTGTCAGGAGTCTTGGAGATAGTTTTGCCTTAGTCCAAAGGAATAGTCTTAGCTGTGGGGGAATTTCAGGTATGATAGCAGGTTGGTTAGGAATATTTTGGGGGATGGGGCCCCACCTAAGGCAGGCCCTGGTCTACCACATCTGTGGGGGCGGAGGGGAAGGAGTGAATGTGTGTCACGTGGTGTCTGGGGTTTGGCAGAGTGGAGACATCAGCACTGATGGTGCCCAGATCCCGGCACTTAACAGCAGACCCCATAGGTTATTAAAGCTGAGAGCCTATCTAGGAAGATTAGCTGCAGGAAGTGCTTTAACCACCGAGCAAACAGGCAGTCGCTTGATTAGTGCCTCAGACGTGGTATGGCACTGTGGTGTTGGGTTTCCATCTGAACCATTACTTGGATATCTGAGATCTGGAGCTTTGGTTCTAGCCTGACCTTTCATTTAATTTCTGAATGCATGCCTCAGCAATGGCCTTTGCTTGCTTCTTGCACACTGGGTTTCCCAGTAGTGAGAGTTTTGTGTCCCTTCATTTTGGACATTTGCAAGGGATGTTGAGAATTAACCCATATGGTGTTTGTTTAGTTGGGGAATCCTAAATGGCTTCTTGTACTGGGAGAACACGGTAGCAAATATATCTTTACGGTAATGTGTTTTAAATCAAAAGGGCCCCGCATTTTCCCCTGTGCTTGAATGTGACATTCTTGATCATTCCAGACCCACCTGTCTGAGAACACAGGAATCAAAAACAGGAGTCACTCTCAAATTTCACCTCTATTTAATCCATCACAGAAACATACTGGCTTTTCACTGTATATATATAAAAAACCACACCAGGACATTTAAACAAAGTGACACAGATCATCAGCAGATCAACTGGGAATGACGGCTCAATCAAACAAATGTATGTTGAGAATTTCCACAGGGCAGCTCTCACAGCAGCCAAGCCAAATTTGTTTAGTATACATGAGCTAGCTCCTTAGGAACATGCACTGTGCTGCCTGCCAGATGATGACTTTTCTAGGTAAACATCCATTTAGCAGCATATATCCATCCATGAAAGTGTTGGCGTGATTTTGATCTATTCTCTTGGACTCCTGAAATTATGACTTCATTCTGCTGGCAGCCAAGTACCAAACCCACACATGCACCATTTAGGCTAAAAAAAAAGTTGGGGGAGGGGAGTTATGCACTTATTTCAAAATGTAATATAACCATCCAAAAGGTAGGAGAAACTTCATAAAATCGACAGCCCATTTCACTTTTCTGACAAGCAATAAAGTAAGCATCATTAAAATGGATGTCAAATTATAGCAGCAGGGAAAATACCTACCTTGTTCTTGGTATATGAAGTAGAATATGGAGGAGTATTTATCCACTGTGGCTTAAACTTGGAGACATTCCTTTTTGGGGTAGGGGGTTTGGGTTCTTTTATTAAATTGGGATTTTAGAATCTGATCCCAACTAAGAAAGAACATTTGGATTCTTCAGAGAAAGATATTCTATTACTTGTCTTATTAATTCTTCTATCTGAACAACTTATTTTCTTTTTTAAAAAAACTATTTACTTTTTAGTTTTAGGTAGACACAATATCTTTATTTTGTTTTTTCTGTGGTGTTGAGGATCAAACCCAGTGCCTCATGCATGTTGGGCAAGCACTCTACCACTGAGCCACAACCCCAGCCCATGAATAACTTACTGTCTTTTTATAAGTGTCACTTAAAGAATGAGAACTCTATTGAACACAATTTTTAGGTCTAAAACAAAACACAAAATAAATGAAAAACAAAACTTCTGGCAGGATTTTCAAATTCTGCTTCTTCTCACTGACTGTTGTAAAATCTCACTTATTTTGTGTAAGAAGTTCACAAAAGATGATCAATACTGTGGTTGATTAATTTAAAGCTTTACTTTCCTATTCTTTTCAACTGGTGAAATCCTCAATTTGGGGTAGCATTTTCAAACAGAAATCTTGTAAAACTCCCCCTTTTTTAGATCCAAGGATTTCTGAGATTTGAGAAAGTTGATTATTATTTATAAATTTTAACTTCTCTTAGAAGAGCAATTGGCACATGTTTTTGCTTGGGCAAAGTTTTCTGAATGGTCAGTGGTCTAGGAGTTACCTCTTCCAGTGTAGGGAATGAATTTTGTGGATAACAGAGTCCTTTGAAATCTGTTTAAGATTCAGAGCTAAGAACTGTCTCATAAGTAGTGTTTTTTTTTTTAAATTAGTCTAATCTGAATTTGTATTGAGAGTTCTGGAGGGAGGGTAAGCTGAAAACCCAAGTGAAGAGACAGACATGAAAACAACTAATTATAATAGCACCAGAGTCAATGATAGAAGTGTATGTTCCACAGCACCATTTACCTGCTCTGTGATCTGTAAGGGAATGAGTTCACCATGGTGAACCTGGCGAGTGGGAACTCTTAGCAGATAAGAAGATGCATAGAGTGGATTTAGGCTTCAGTACTGAAACGCTCTCAATACTGTCTCCACTGCAGAGCCTTCCCTAATTAAAGGAATCACTTACCTCCACATTTTACCCCATTCTCTTTACTTTTAAGTACTTAGGACTATCTCAGATTCTCTATGGATGTATTGGTCTCCTTTCCTCTTACACCCAGTAGGCAATAAGGTTCACTAGAGCAGGGACATTGTTGGTCTTACTGCTGTGTTCCCAGCTTTTGGAATAGTAGAGGTCCTCACCAGGGAACAGTGGAATGTAGAAAGGGCATTCTACATTAGAAGATTGTCAATGAAAATAACACAGAAAGAAAATTCTGCAGGATGTTATGGACAGATTACAGAATGTGTTGTAGTGGTTATAGAATGCATTGAAAGCATAATATGAGCAAATTGATTGTAACCATTATAGTTTAAATGTGAGGTATCCCCCAAAAGCTGATGTGAGAGACAGTGTAAGAAAGTTTAGAGGTGAAATGATTGGGTTATGAGAGCCTTAACCTAATCAGTACATTAATCCACTTGAATGCATTAACCGGGCAATAACGATAGGCAGATAAGGTATGGCTGAAGGAGTTGGGTCATTTGGGGCTTGCCTTTAGGGTATATATTTTGTCCCTAGTAAGCTGAGCTTACTCTCTTTCTGATTGCCAAGTCTTGATTGCTTTCCTCTTCTACAACCTTCTTCTTCACCTCGGGCCCAGAGCAGTGGAGTTGGCCATCTATGGACTGAAATCTCTGAAACCATGAACTCCAAATAAACTTTTCCTCCTCTAAAATTGTTCTTGTCAGGTCTTTTAGTCACAGAAGCTAAAAAGCTGACTAAAACAGTAACCATTCATAAAAGAACTTCATGAGATTCTCAGAAAGCTATGGCAAATTTTTGAAAAGAACTATAACTCTCTGACATATTTCTAAAAATGAGTGCCAGTTTTGATAACCCAGGTTAAAACTTTCTTGGGAGAACGAACCACATTTAGTAGCATACACTTATTCATGAATGCAATAGTGTGATGTGTTCTTTAATGTTTTTATCCAGACTTTTAAGATGAAAGAGTATTCTTTCTGTTATTATTATTTATGTATCCTCAAATGTGTATAAATGCATGGCAGTCTTTTACAGACATGGAGAAAGCATTAATATGAGTGTGCATAGAACTTGAGTGACTTGGAGTTTCTGACAGAATAACCTTGGGGCAAGTGAGGTTTTTATAGTCAACAAAAGATCTTGTTTAAATATAAATAAAAAACACTGACAATAGCCTGCCATGTTCCCACATGTATTTAACTACTCCCACAATGTAAATTTCACACAGTCCCAAGAATACTATTTATCAAAGCAACTCCCAGGTATTGGGATGAACCAGAAGCTTTCAAAGTGTTGATTGATCACGCTTTACTAGCAGTTCACTAGAATTACATAATCACTCCAAGATCAACAGTGTGGAAGAAAATGATATGAGACTCAGAACAAAGCCTGGAATGTTAGGTTAGCAACTGCCTTACATTGTAGTAAATGCATCAATTAATATTCATAAATATCTAGAGGCATGACCTGGTAAGGATACTGAATGAACTGTGTATGACAATTCAATTTTATTTTATCCCCAAAGGAAACTTGGCTATTCTTCACTTTCACATAGAAGAGTTTTGAGAGAAGAGTGTTTGGGGTTTTGTTATCTGTGAACCTATCAGCATTCTTAAAACTCTTGGAATGATATGATGGCAGTGTTCTGTGGTACAGCCTGGAAATATCTGTCTTCATGTTCATCCATCAGACCACATGTAGGAAGCATTTTTGGAGGTTCACCAACTGCACCTTAGCAATGGAAGGAGCTACAAGAAAATCCTTCATGTCCTTTAAATCTATCTTGAAACACTAGAACAATTAGGTCAAAGCACCTGTTCTTTTTTAGGTGGTAGATTGAGATTTGTGGGAGGAACTGTACTGTTCTACCCAAGAGATAAGGAAAGAGATCACTCAACCCCATGACTTTTCCTCCTCTGCACTTTGGGCTGAAATCATGGAATAAATTCATTGTCTGTCATCAAATGTTGGGCAATAATGCAGATTTCAAAAATAAACTTTCCTCTAGCCTTTCAGCCCACGCTATTTCTTGCATCTTCACAGAAACTCTGGCTGTGTAGTGTTCTGGAATGAGCTCAATTTTTGCACCATGTCAATGATTACAATGATTTCTCTTTTTATTTTGTTCCAATAAGTGTGTATGGAGAGATTTATTGATAGGGGAGTGGTGAAGAATGACTTGTTCATGAACCATTGTATCACTTTTTGTTATCTGAAAGATATTGACCCTTAAGATGCATCACTTAAGACATAGAGACATTAGAGCCTCCCAAAATAATAATGGCTTTTGGCATTTGCATTTGCCTCTAAAGTTTACAAAAAAAAATGTTCAAATGTGCTATTCTGATTCTTACTGCAATTTGTGTTATAAATATTTTTTAAAACCAGTCATGTCCTATAGGAATATAAATGTCAGTTTCATATTAATTGAAAAATTTCTAGCAGTCACATTAAAGTAGGTAAAAAGAAACAGGTGAAAATGATATTATTAATGTTTTATTTATCCCAATAAGTCCCAAATTATATATTTTGGTATATAATCAATATACAAAAATTATCTAGATGTTCTACATTTGTTTGTACCAAGTTTAAAAATTGTCATATATTTTTAAACTTTTAGTATATCTTAATTTTTGAAGTGGCCACGTTTCAAACAGTCGGTTGTCATGTGTGACTACCCTATTGGGCAGCATCAGAAATAGGTATAGAAACAGAAGTTCAAAGAGATTTGGGGACTTTCCTGGGGGGACCTAACTACACAGTGGACATGAGCCCAGTGTGAATTTCTCCTTTAAACAGGGTCTATGGTTTACAGATTACTTGAATTTCTTGTGATATTGTGAGTTGAGATTATAGAGTAGGGAGCTGTAGTTGCTATAAAGATTCTGCCATGTAAGATTTCTTTACTGCTGATTCGAGAAATGTCATGGAATTTGTATTTTTAAATACAAACTCCATAAGAAATTGTGATATACCTGGTTTAGTGATAGCTGCCCTAGTGTCTGAACTCCTTCTGGTCCATCTCTATCTTCTTCTTATATTTGTTCATTTGTTTAACAACAAGTATTTACTAAGCATGTGATGGGGACCAGACACCATGCTTGGCACTGCAGAAGCATCAGTAAAGAAAGCTGAGTCCCTGCTCTTGCATTCTACATCTCATAAGGTATGGCTGCATCATAGTGAGTGCTACAACACATATTGCTAGGATCAAATTTAGTTGGCGATATTTGATATGACTTTACTATTCTCCCTCTTGGAGGACTCACTAGAAATCTTAAGGGAAGGACATAAATATGGGTTATCCACATGGGGACTTTTTGTTTTGTTTTATTCCTCTTTTTACAAATATACTTGAAGAGATTGTAATGTGAGAACATGGTATACACATTCTGAGCTGACTATATTTGGTTAATTCCACATATGAGCAGATTGATCATCTGGAGTATGTGTGTGTATGTATGTATGTATATATGCATGTGCACACATGTGCATGGATGTGCATGTACAAGCATGTGTAGATTAGTATGAACTTTCCTTCAGTGGGGATTTTTTTTTTCCAGTACTAGGGATAGAATCCAGGGGTGCTTTATCATTGAGCTACATCCCCAGCCATTTTAACTTTTTATTTTAAGACAGGGTTTTACTAAACTGCTTAGGGTCTTGCTAAGTTGCTGATGCTGGCTTCCAACTTGCTATCCTCCTGCCTCAGCCTCCTGAGTCATTGGGGCACAATTTGTATGATATCTTTTGAACACTTAGGATAAAACTTCCCAATTCACAAAAAGAAAAGGAGGTACCACTCAGTACTTCCAGTAGAGTTGGCTTGCTTTGACATTTTTGAGTCAGTACAATCACAATGAATTACGATCAGGAGTTAGAAACTTTGCTGGATTCTGGGGATTCTGCAGTGAATTGGGCCCCCCTGCTCTCTGCCCTCGTCACCTTACAGTCTAGTGGAGTTTAAGTGGAGGTATGCTTTAATCTTTCCACTTGGACTCACTTGAATTTGGGGTATGCCAATGGTATGGTCTTTTTGTGCCTTATCAAATATTTACATGAGATTTTGTTGTTGCTGTTTTTATTTTCTGTTCTTTTTTTGGTGTATATTTAAGTGTATATAATGCTGTTTCTTAGAGGAATATTTAATGCACTTATTTTCCACCTAGAAGAAACAACGTCTGCTCAGCTGGTTTTTCTTCTGTCTAGCATTTTCATTTGACCCTTTAAGCTATCTAAACTTTGAAGGAAAATGCAGATATGCCCTATGGTTTGAAATGGTGTAGAGATCCAGAAGGATTAATTTAAAAATTCATAAATCCATTGTACTATGCAAATTAATGACCTGTGACCTTTTTTCCAGGTGACTTATTTTGACTTAACTATGTCCAAATAAATGTGTTTATATAGGCGAGTTCAATGCTACCAAAACCTGACGTATTAACATCTCCTATGGTTCATAATACGTGCCAGGGATGTGGACCACCCTCTGTTTTCTCATTATGCCAAATAATAGAAAGTGGAAATCACTCTAATCCTTTCTTCTGTGTCTGCCGTACCTCTGCAAATATGATAAACTCAATCCAATTAAAAGTCATTACCTCTCCAAGGCTCAGCCACAGTCTACAACCCTTTGTTTTACAATCCTCTCGATTATCTGTTTTCATCATGAGTAGAGTTTTTAGCCATCTTCCACTTCAGTTTTCTATGAACAAAAAGGAATTTCACTTTCTTTCAGAGTTCAATATTGCAGTCTTTGTTTTCTGTATGATTCGTTTGATTCCGTTCAATGCAGATTTATATAACTTAATTCTTCCTGGTTATTTGCCTTATCTCCCCCACGAGATTGTAAGTCCTTCGAAATCAGCAATTTCACTTTATTCTTCTTTGTTGCCCCCCATGGAGATTTGCCTGTAGAAGTCTTGTTGACTGAATGATTAACATTTTGCGGCATAATGTTGAATCTGTGTTGGATCATAGTTGCTAGGACTTAGTGGTAATGAGTGTTGAAAATTTGGATGAAGTCGACATAACACAACAGCAACAAAATCAACAAAAGCAGCAAGAGCTCAAACCTGTTAAGTTGTTGTGTAATTATTGTATATACTTCAGGTATCTTTCCTG